TAAAATTTACCTGAAACAAGAATATCATTCCGAAGAGCACACACTGCATATTCAGACTTGGTAAATTCTGGGAGTTTAGCTAGTGACTTCCATTCTCCTGTCACAGGATCATAGCATTCATTGTATGGCAGATTAAACCCCCCAACTCGTTCACAGCCTCCGACAATGACTATCACCTCAGAATAGCCAGTGGATCTTAATAAAATTTACCTGAAACAAGAATATCATTCCGAAGAGCACACACTGCATATTCAGACTTGGTAAATTCTGGGAGTTTAGCTAGTGACTTCCATTCTCCTGTCACAGGATCATAGCATTCATTGTATGGCAGATTAAACCCCCCAACTCGTTCACAGCCTCCGACAATGACTATCACCTCAGAATAGCCAGTGGATCTTAAACAATGAAAACAGAAAGAGAAAATAGATGTCTATTAAAGCACATATAGCAAACAATATCAGCTTGAAAAACCAAGATCGTACAGCTTTAAAATCTAAAAATCTATTATTTAACATGACACTGACTTCTACAGCAATAATCATTTGCTTAAAAATGATTCAGATATTTCACTATTTCCAGATGTCCCATTGTGTGACAAGTAACCATACCAATAAATAACCATTTTGTTAAAAGGATGGAGTTATATTGCATGCATGCTGTGTAAAAAGCAATTTTTTTAAAAAAAGAAAGCCCTTATATTTTAAGATTTTCTCTTCTGACTGATGCAGACATATAAGAAGTAAAGCTGAAGCCATGTGTGAGAAATACATACACACACACACACACATATAGTTTTGAAGGTTTCATATAAAATCCAGCACACTGAAAACAGTCTCCTGTAAAGTTATAAATTTCACAAAAATTCTCGTGACAGTTTATGCCACACAAATATTTTGCAAATTTAGAATTAAATACCTTCCAAATGTTACAGAAAATTTCTTTTTTTTTAAAATGTTTAAGACCTCTGGATTAAGTATGTTAAAGTTTGATTCATCAAATAGTCGATGGGATTTCCATAGACTATTCGATTAGTCGATAAGAACTAGAGCAACATTCCACCTTTGAAATGTACAAGAGCTCCAACGGGGCTCCTCTTGAGCCTTGGGGCTAGATCCAGACAAGGTGGGGGCTGATTTAGGGCTTCTCTAGTTTAGGGAAATTTGTGCCTATGTCATTACATCAATACACTGGTGTAACTAACCAAATCAAACCAGATATCAAATGCATATTATCTTTAAAAGAGCAGATTGATGTACTGCATGCTATTTAACTACAATTAATCCCAGAGGAGCAGATATCTTATTTACTATGACCCAATCCTGCCAAAAAAAAAAAATCACATGACTTATGTCTATAACAACTCCATGATCTGTTCTCAACTTTGCTTATGAATGATAGAATTGCATAGGCATTTATTTAAAACCACATTGTGGGGCATCAGAAGTAAAAACTGACTATTCTTGTTCTCATGTTACTAAATTCTATAAACAAATAAGTCCTTTTTCCTCTAAATGTTTTAGAAAAAGCAAAGACACGGTAAATGTGAATATACCATGAAATCTCACAATATAAATACTTGTCTTAAGAACTATGTTTACACACTTGGATCATTCAATAAAGTGACCTCAGTTACTCTCTCATAACTGGTAAAAAAAATCCCAAAGAAAATTTCCCTTCAGTTGCTCCAACCTTGAAGTGATGTCAGGGCCTGCTTTTTACATATTTAATGTCTAATGTTGAGCTATCTAATCTTCTTTTTCGAGGAACTAATCTTGGAAAGGTATTTCTTTAATGGAGAGAAGGAACTTTACCGAGGAAGCATTATTCAGAAAAAGAAATTGGTTTCTTTCAACAACTAGTTATTTGTCTCTCTTACTCCCCCCCTCTCCCCCAACAGGCAAATGCAAATATATGTACCAAGGATATCTGTCTACAAAGGAGGAGGCCTGGCTACTGATTTCTTTAAATACTACTACAATCAAGACTTTTGCCAACTGAGAAGTTTGTTGTGCATGTCTGCCAATCTTTTTTAAATTAAGAAAAAACTGAGCCAACATCCATGGATTGAAAAATACTGCCTGAGAATGGTGATGAGTAGGGTTACCAGGTGGCTTAAAAAAAACTACCGGACACACTTGATCTCAGATGGGGGGGTGGGCAGACTGGCCAGAAGAGGAGCGGGGCTGGCTGGCGAAGGTTGG